CGTCGTCTTTGTATTTAGTTTCGGAGTTAAATGTACATCTCTCCATTCTTTTTCGAATTTTTTAAATATTGATCCTCACAGTATTAGTGTCCTAATATTTTCACTTTCGACGTTCGTAAAACCTGTTCGTCAACCTATTCAGCTAATTTTACAGGCGTTAATCTGAAAAATTGCTTACATTTTTGGTCGTAACAATTTTTTCTATTTAATTGCAGACCAACAAAAATGTATTTGTTGTGTTCTTCTCCTGTGACCTTCGTGTTCAATTTTGCTATTTGGATCGGAGCGTGAATAAAATTCGTGGACGACATCGTCGAATTTTACTCGAATTTGTAGACGCACAAATGGACATTGGAATATCGAGCGTTTATACTCATGACATGTGTCACAGTGTATAAAACAACAGAAAAATGCAAATCTTTCGAATATTCCCGTCATTTTTATAAAACGATACAATCGAATGTCCATTTTAGTCAGCTCAACTGATTCAGAGCAAATGACGGATTATTTTTCGAAAATTTGCATATTCGTCGTTTCGAAATGTACGTCTTATATTTTTATATCAATTCATAAATAAATAAATTATAATATATATTATAGTATATTGTCCCATATATAATTAGTCATAAATTTATTATAAATTATTCTCACATTTATACATTAATTGCGTTTAATGATTCGAATAACGAGAAACGTGGATCACTAGAAAATGAAGGATCACACAGCAATGCCTTTTACTTTGACTCTCGTTCCTCAAATTGAAACAAAATACTGCAACCAATCTTCTCTTCAAAGAAAAATAAAATGAGAGATAAAATAAATGTCATCAAGTTATTCAGCAACGTTCAATGATACGTCGTTTTACGGGTCGAAGCCTTTTGCAATTCGCTTTCAATATTTTGTTTTCGGCGTGTTGACAGTCTTTTACTAAAAGTAGGAGGCTCTTAAATGGTCCCGAAAGTAATCGTACCAGGACAAAAAGAAAAAAAAAAAAAAAAAAAAAGAAAGGACAATTCCTGAACGATAAGTGGAAACGAAGTTCGTTAATCGAATAGAGTTCGGCGGCGTGCAGGCCAGAGTCTCCCTCTTATGTTAGCAGAGAGGCGATTTGCCGGGCGAAAATTTCGGTATCGTTGGGTGAATTAGGTGAATTCGTTAGCGAACTTCGTCTACCAGCGTGCGTGCACTCGGGAGGGCAATCGAAACACGCGATAAAAGAGCGGCCAGGCGACAAATTAATTAAACTCCACGGCTCGTTTTATATTTTAATGCAGTGATTACGCGTGACATTCGCGCCATCGGTGCGCTCTGTTAACTGCACGTTCCGCGCGAAAGTATAATAAAATTAATTAACTGCGCGCGACGAAAAAGCGAAGAGATAGGAGGAGAGAAAAAGAAAAATGCGGCGAACAATATTTTTTGGAGAGAAAGAACGTTTAATCGAGAGAGATCGTCGTGTTGGTTCTCGAAACTAAATTAACGTCTAATCTGACCTAACGAGTTGATATCATGTTTTTGCCCTTCCCGAGGGAAAGGCTCTTTATCCCGCCCGAAAAGCTCTCGCATCGTTCTTTTTACACGGATCGATAGTGCACGATCGAAATCGTGGGGAGTTTTCATTTCTTTTTTGCGATTAGATGAAATTCTCGAACTGCCCCCCGCGGGAAGTATCGTGAAGAGACGCAGATACAAGTCGCGCAATTAGACCCTTTCTGCTAATGTGCCGATCGATACACGGCACTCGTTAACAGACTCGTAAACAGCAGGCACAGGTGATTCGTACAAGTGAGCTACGAACACGAATATCTTCGGTGTTTCGATTTTTTTTGGAGTTGGGTGGTACGAATAATTTAGTAATAATTTGTTCTAGTTTTGAAAACTTCTAGTTTGAGAATTAAAGTGAAAAAGGAAAAAGAAAGTTTGCGATGGATTGACACTAGAACTGTTGACACTAGAACTATTAAGATATAGAATTAGTAGGAGAGGAGTTAAAGGACAAGGAACGAGGGAAAATTGATAATACAATATAGAATATATAAGCTTTTATTTGTATATCTTACACGTAACAATATAGAATATATAAGCTTTTATTTGTATATCTTACACGTAACAATATAGAACATATAAGCTTTTATTTGTATATCTTACACGTAACAATATAGAACATATAAGCTTTTATTTGTACATCTTACACGTAACAATATAGAACATATAAGCTTTTATTTGTACATCTTACACGTAACAATATAGAACATATAAGCTTTTATTTGTACATCTTACACGTAACAATATAGAACATATAAGCTTTTATTTGTACATCTTACACGTAACAATATAGAACATATAAGCTTTTATTTGTACATCTTACACGTAACAATATAGAACATATAAGCTTTTATTTGTATATCTTACACATAACAATATAGAATATATAAGCTTTTATTTATATATCTTGCACCATTCGAGTCTGTAAAGATACTATAAAATATGTAAAAGTTTACACAGTTTTTATTACATACAAAAATTACAAATGTTTCATACGTTTGAATGTGTTTATGAATAATTATAAATTACTTTGACCACTTTGGTAGTGTTAAAGTGACAGATATTTTACGGATAGATACTACATACAAATATTATTAATATTATCATAGATATTAGCTATTGTTCTTGGAAAAATTTTCAATTACAAAATTTAGTATATTTATTATATTTAGTATAATATTATATTATATTAAATGTAGTATTACATTAAATTTAGTATATTTAGTATATTTTACAATTGATAATTGTTTCAAAATATTTTTTCATCGCATAAAAATTCGTAGGGAATTCATAAAAATTTACCTACCTACGTGTTCTATAAAATTTAGAAATTTGAAAGAATATCAGCTTAGGATTTTTATGTAGTTTAGGAAGTCCTTTTATAAAAAATTTATCAAAGTAAAAAATATTACAGAAGTTGGAATAAACAGTTATTTTTCTTTTTTTTTTTTTAGAAAAATTTTGTTTCATACTTTTCCTTCGTACTGTTTCTCATAGCATTTTCATAGAAAAAATATTATCTTTAGAGACTTATTTATAAAGTGTATATTTTATAAAAACCTAACCCAAACCTATCTATAAAGGTACCATGGAAGCAAGTAATTTTGGAAATGATATATATTAGATTGAATATTACATTATAATATGTTAATATTACATACAATGATATCGTATTATATATTATATAATGTACGTATATAATAATATATTAATGTTCTTTATATATATATATATATATATTGAAGAAAGATCCTATAAAATAAATAAAGTAGAACTATAAAGGTTTTATCTAACAATATATCATATAATTGGAAGTTTTAAATTGTACTATAACGCAATAATAGATTAACTAACCGGTGATCAAAACGCATATATATTACATTTTTTATAAATATATATTACATATTTTATAAATATAAATCACGTTTGTATCCGATAATAATTGGAATAAATAGCATCCAAGCTGTTCATTTCAAAGAGAAACGCGAACAACCTTTGAATTGCAAATATATATTATACATAAATAACATGTTCAGAATATGAATTCATTAAAAATGAATTTAGTAACTACTTGATATTATTGTAGTATTATAATAATTATTTAATGTCCGTATAATATATACAGGATAATTCACGTAACTTGCACATCTGAAATAACTTTTAAATCATGCGTCTAATGAAAAATTGTTTAATATAAAAGTTGTATCACAATCGAAAGAATATTAAATTCCAAGTAAAAAAATATTAAGCCATATTGGTCTCAAACTATATATATACACATACACACACGAATATATATTCGTAAGCCTTTTTTTTAAAGTTCCACGATACACATTATTACTTTTTTTTCAAAAGTTCCATTTTAAACAGAACCCTTTAAAAAGTTTTGAAAAATAACCTTATCGATCCTGAAATATTATTAACCACTTGCGTTAGAAAGACCTGCCATGCAGCGAATACGGGAATAAAAATATTTTTTCATTTAACAGATATTGCACTTTTTAATGCTTTATTTTGTAAGAAAATAGATATGGCAAAAGGTAAAAAGTATTCCTTTTCAAAATCTCGGTTAGATGTGACAGAACAAATTTTACAAAGTGTATGTATTCCTGATTAATTAAAAACGTGGAACGATATCTGCTGGTAACATACCGCATCGTTTACAAGCAAAGCAATGGGATTATTTTCCAAGGAATATTCCACAGAAGTCAAAAAAAGAAAAAAAAAATCAGAAAGAAGGTGCAGAGTATGTGCAAAACACAAATGACGAATGCAAAGAATTAATATATAGATCTTGTGGCACTATATATTCCGGACTGTTTTAAAATATACCATACTGTACAATATTATTAATAAACGAAATTAGTGTAGTTCATATCTGCGTAGAATTCTTTGACGTTAGTCACCAGCGCAAGTGATTAATATCCGTAGAAATTAATTTCGATACTGAGTTAACAGGAGATTCAGTTGGAAAAATAATTCTTCAATTTTTATCTCCACTAATGTAATTTCCAAATGAAGAAACGATAGTAGAATCATTTATGCAAAATACAACGGAGAAGTCGCGAGAGCTTTCGAAGAAAACTATGGAAGCACAGTGCCTAACCTAATCGTACACTAGACCTACCAAAATGGTAAAAAATGGCCAATTTTATAATTTTCGTTGGATATTTTATTGATGTGTAAACAGTGTATTTTTTTTTTAGAGACTCGTCGTAAAACACATAAATAAAAGCTTATGCATACCATGTTCTGTATTGTAAAGATTTTTTAGACTTCATTGTCCCTGATTATGGAAATTTTATGCTTCAGTCGTGAGTAGTTCTAGTGTCAATCGAACTCAACCCTATTTTCCCCAAAGAATTAAAAAAAAAAAAAAAAAAAATCAAGCTACGTTCTTTCTTTTTTTCCTTCTTTCCAATTTCTTCTAACGATTTGTTCGTTTCGTTTTCCAGGGGACGGCATCGACTGTTGAGCGGCAAGAGACGAAAAATCAGCTGGTATGTCAAATAATCAGCTGGTTGACTCCTGTCTGTAAGTGTCTTTCTCTCCTCGAGCTCTCTGCCCAAGAGGCTCGTAACCGAATTAATACCTACTCTCTCTCTCTCTCTTTCTCTCTCTCTTTCTCTCTCTGTCTGTCTGTCTCGATTTTTCTCTCTTTCTATTCGTTTTCAATAAGAAGCCCGATGATCGTGAAGCTTTTCTCCCCCCTTTTACACGGCTAGCGCAGAACGTAACTCGGCCAATTGGCAAAACTCGTTTCCCCCGGTAATGGGTAGAAAGAAATAAAGAGACTCCGACTATCTCTTCCGTCTATCCCTGCTGTCGTTCCATTCGTTTTGGCCCATTTTTCCTGGCGCCTCGGTTAGAAGGGAGGACCAAAAAAAGAAAAAAAAAAAAAAAAAAA